CATGGCGGCCGGATAAATGAATCGGAATACAATTTATTATATGGTTTACGAAGAAATTGGTTTAGGGAAAGAGTTGGGCTTAAAGCTTTTTACCCGCGCTTCCAGAGCTTTTGTTTCTTTGGAAAGTTACCCGCCGACCGATGTGTGCATTCGATTGTGAAGTCAAGAGTGATTATAAGATGTTTTCGTTTGTTTTTGATGATTTAAAGATTTTGTTGGTGGTGGTAGTGGTGTTATTGGATATAGGTATTGGTTATTAAGGGATTAGAAAGTTGTATCAAATTGAAGCCAGGGATAATAAAATATATAATACTAACAACTAACTTTAAAAAGGCCGAATTCTTCATAGGGGCTATGTGTTTTGTAGAACATACTTTGGTCATAAACCAGGACACAACAATTACCAAATACTATCGAATCCTGCCGAATAATTAGGAACCTCCCCGAAAAAGTTCTTCTAGCTAGCCCTCTAGTAATTTTTATTTGCTAGACATTTTTGAAAAAAAAATTACGAAAAAATGCCGGACTATCGGGCATTCTGACCTGGTGGGCTTCTACTCTATATATATTTATCATCATTTAAAAATCAGAAAGTATCTATTTCATGCAGTTTGGAAAGTATGTGCATTTAAAGCTTTTTTTTCTTGAGGTTTTATATTAAATAAAAATGGAATTATTTTTTCCGATTTGGGCATTCAATTAACCCAGTGAACTTTCTGCAAAATTCTCCAACGTGTTACTTAATTTTATTCAAATTATATTTTATGCTAAATGTAATCTTGATGCTTCCAGGAGGTACATTTCGAGTAAATACAAATACAAATGGGATAATAATGAAACGCATTGGAGGGTGTTCTAAGACGGTTACATATTGAATCTTAACGTTGGGGGTACATATTTGTTTGTTATTCGAACTTGTCGATGTGTGTATTATGTATGCAAGAATGTTTGTGTTTGTTCAGGAGCAAACAATGTTTCAATATGGCGTGATTTAATTATGAATTTGATAATATGATATGAAGACGGCGAATAGCTCTCGGCGACCCGCAATATTCAATTGTGAGCGAATAATAATAGATACTTCAGTGGCTAAATTTGTGAGTTTTATCAGCGACACAGTAATTGAAGTCAAAACTTATTTTTTCCATTTTTTCTAATGTCTCAACCAAATATATTTTAATCAGATAAATCCACAGCCCCATTCGAAATAATTACCAGCGACACTTCTACTCAGGAATTCTCTAATGCGATTTGCATTCGTTAATTTTTTCGACTCTTAATTGTCGGTGTAAAAGAAATGAGAACTGACTCGAAGTGTGGAAATTCACTTGTGCTCTTGCCATTAAAATATCGTGTTTCACTGTACCAGAGCAAAAAGAGATCAACGAAGAATTTAAATTAAAACATGTACGTACATCCTAATTTACCATCATATAATTATGACGAAGCTCTAATGAAGAAGTGTCGTAATAGGATGAATTATGAATATTGGCGGGATCTGGTTACAGAGTGCATATAGACGGAGGTGGACTCTTAAGCAGAAATAAAATAAGAATCTGAATTTAATAATTGACTAATTAATATATGGCAACTAATATGGTAGTCTTCAATATTATCATTGGGGAGCTTCTTCTTCAGTCTTCTTGGAATTGATGTCTCAAAAAGCTTAGTGACTATAGCATTTCTAGTTATTCTAGTTTTAGAGAATGTTTAATGTATCAAAAGTTGAAGTTCAAGAACAATTGATGAAGCAGTACACATTTGTCGAATTGAGGATCATGCTGCTTCATCAGTTACTAAGCCCAGTTCTAAACATTTGTGCCTTAAGAAAACTTGGAAAATGTGGTACATGGACCTGCCCTAATCATGAGTAGAAAATCCTTTACTGGTGTGATTTCTATACTTGAAAAAAAATTATTTATGCCATAGTAGTTGGATAGTTTGTATCTATAGTTTGATAAACATTGATCAATCATAATACATTTTTAATTCTATTACCGAGGGTCCTTACAATTTTTTATAAAAATTAATTTAGTTTAGGAGTTTTTCTTTCAACATTTTACCCAAAATTCAAATCACAATAGGAACACAATCAATAACTGCTGTCGAATCCGTGTGCATACATAAGTTCTCCGAATGATGTATTGCTGGTAAAGGCGGGCAGAAAATTGACTGCCCCATGGGGCTCCCGTTGCCGGATTTGTCTGGCTTCGGCTGAAGAGCGGGCTACTTATTTGGGGGAATCTGTACGAATTGAATTAATCTTACGCTAAGTGGAACTTGAGAACCCTTTACTGTTGACTCACAATGCAAAATACCTAAAATACGATTGTATCAGTGTTTGTGCTGAAGTCGGTATCGGAAATCGATATATTGAAGGTAAATGTTATGGTAAATGTAAAGTTTTTGTTATTTGTACTCCAAAATGAAAATATGAGATAATAATTATTGGCACATCTGTAGGAGTTATACTTTAGTTTGGCCTAATTTTTTTCTAGATTTAATGAGATATTTATTACCAAATTTCATATTTTGCTGTTCCTCCTGGAGTGTGATCCCCTTTCTATCAAAACCGTCAAGTTTACATTTAGCGTCGCAGTTGAGCATCGATTGCAATGCGATTCTGACATTTCGCCTTCAAAACTCAATCAAGAATATGCCAAGAGCATCATGTAATGGCAATGATTGTAATTAATATAGCAACAGAAATAATAACGTTCCACGAAATTATATAGCATGGGTATACGCTGCATAAATCCATTTCTGACTATGCTTAACTTAGCAATTATAAGTTATATAAATACATACACATACAGATATATCTATATATATAATATATATTATCTATATATATATATTATATATATATACGTAATACTCCTCCAAAACGGCTTGATCGATTTTAATGAAATTATATAACCAGGTTCAGTATGACTGATCAATGATTTTTATCCTTGTTGGTGAATAATTTACAATTAATATATGTCCTGTATCTTTTTCCCCGCTTTTCTATTATCGTATACAATTCGCAATTTAGTTAGCTTTGTCCAATTGTATTTTCGAAAATAAAGTGCCCGGATAAATTGTAATCCCGGGTTCAACCACATTGATGGATCCGGGGTTTTGAATTGAATTTAGGGCAATTCGTCACTTTGTCAGAATATAAAGTGGCCAGTGGATGTTTTAGTAATCTCTTTTATAAAGCCAGAATCTACTTTAACACCGATAAAGAACGATACGCGTATGTTAATCATTCAAATAGAATGGAATTGAAATTGACTCATCAGGGGGAAAAAAATTGGGCTTGATAAAAAGTACTTCATAGCTATTAATATTCAAAAAAATATTATTTATATATAATGGTTCCCCGCCCAAGGGCAACTTGTTCTAATTTGTAACAGCTTTCATCACAATTAAGTTGGCAAACATTACAGTGATACAATCTTTGCTGTACGGTAATTTCT